GTTGTTATAGCGTTTGTTATAGCGCGACTGTTGAAATTAAGTGTATCGGAAAGCTGTATTCGGAAAGAATAAACCAGTTTTATTAAGAAAGGGCTTGTGTCGCTAAAGTTTTGTCGGAACGAAGTTACAGAAAATCAGAACAGAGACGTAACACTGCCATCAAATCTGCTAAGCTGTAGTTTGATTTGCCACTTCTCGTTTCAATTTTTTTTCTTTTTCCGTCCCACTCTCTGACATTAATTTGTAACGTCTGTGGTCGTTAGTTAATTTTCCGTAAAAATTATTTCTGAAGAAACTTTAGCGATACAAGTCCTTTCTTAAATAAAACTGATTTATTCTTTCTCAATACAACTTTGAAATTCACTTAATTCCAACGGTCACACTATAAGTTAAACAAACGCTATAATTCACAACGAACGACACATGCGCTCGACCCAACAATACGTCTCTATCTCTGTCTACAGTTCAATTACATTCCATTGTTACTGTCACTTCTTGGCGGCTTATATACAAGAATACCGCATATTTAGTAACCTCTCGAGGCTTCAAGAAGGGACATGAACGTTCTAGAAGCGCATGACGTGTTACTAGTGTCACGTGACCTCCGCTGTCGTAACAATATCTTATCACAATTTACAGCTTTTACAGTAAGTAAACTCAAAACGAAACTATTTATGATATTTCTTTAAAATGAGAATCTATATATATATTTCCTGTTCACATTTATCTTTTAAAACTCGTGATACTGATACAGGAGAAAACAGCTAGGATCTCAATGTCATTGCTGAGATTTGTAGGTCAACTGTGTGCTTAACTTCCAAGGTGACGGTAGGAAAAATGCACTTAACGATGACGGTTTTACATGATAGTTCTAAGAAAGCAGATGGTAGACCTATAATCTTTAATATCCGCTCAATTGCGACTAGAACTAGTTTCTGGTAGGTTTAGTAATTTTTAACAAATACAAAATATTTTTCGACTTAATAAACATATTGAAAGCTTTGTAAGTAAATCTATTTGTGTGTGTGTACTGAATCAAAACTTGCAACTTGTTGGATCTATGATGAATTAGCGGTTAAACCTATTTTTTCATGATTTCACTGAAACCGAAAATAAATTCAAAGTATTCAGTCTGTCTCTAAATTTCATTATTGGTAAGAACTTGATTGGGAACATTTTCGAGATAAATATTATATTATTTCATCCTGCAATTCCACGTAAGATTCATGTCACTTGATTTGGATTTTGATATATGATACATAATAAATAACTGGTCTTATTTGATTATTGTTTTGTTGATTTTTTGCGCAAAGTTACTCGTCGAATAAATGTTCAAGATGATATATAATTTTGTAATGATAGACTATACAGGGAAGGCAACAAGACAACATCACCCACTGCCAACTCTTGGGCTACTTTAATCAAATAGGTCACTTGACCGTAACTTTTATAAAGCATCCATGATCCCAAAGTGCTCATTTTCTTTGTTTTTACTGTAACGGCCAGGACGCGAACCCTAAAATTTCGTATATACAATCCGACACACTAAACACCGAGTCTCATTTTACTTTCATAATGCTTGTTTTCCAAAAACAGACTGCTTCATACATTTCTTCTTCGTAAATAAGTCTTATATTATTGTATTTGGTTTGACAAAATAATAAACAATAAAATTAATGTACAAAAAGCTTCTTAAAATGCATTTAATATAACCGTAGTATACTCCTTTTTGTACACTAAATGATGACGAAAAATAATATGAGCATCTTTTCTCATATAAGTTTCATATTATCATTTACTTTGACATAATTTCATAACATTTAAGTCACCTTATTAATAGGCTGAATATCCACTCATTCAATTATCTTTAATCAAACGAGCTTTATGATCCAATTTCGAAACCATCATCAGGTCGCTGCAGAAGTGACCTTGAAAGTCGACAACAATATACTAAATATGGTACCGTTTTTCGTGGAGAGAATTTAATTAAAATATTAGACACCCATACTGTTGGTGTTCTTAAAAACCTAACAACATATCACAAATAAAAATGTATTATAATTTTTCACGCAAAAATAGTAGATATACATTTCATACATGCAAAATAAGAGGTGAAACAATCTGATTAAACGTCAGCTTTATGCTAAAATCGAATTGGACGGT